GCTTCACCTCAACCCTCCTTTGAATCTCCTTAGATTTGAGTGTAGCCTTGACTTTGGCCATAGCAAGAGTCTCCTTCCCATACAACAAGGTGTCCATAAAATGCTCAAACCTAGGAGGTAATGAGTTTAGTATAATGATTGCTTGATCTGCATCTTCAATCTTCACTCATATACTTTTAAAATCCAAGATAGTCCGGTTGAATTCATTCAAGTGCTTATTCAAGGGCTTAGAATCATCCATTTGAAAGATGTACAGCTTCTTCTTGAGATAAAGTTTATTAGCTAGAGAGCTTTTGAGATATAGAGTTCCTAATTTTTCCCAAATCTCTATAGTCGTTCCTTCATCAGCAACCTCCCTTAGAACTTCATCTTCTAGGCACAAAGGAATTGCATTATGTGCCTTATTAAGCACATCCCCGCGCAATCTTTCTTCTATCCTCAATATCCCTTCATTCGATAGGGCTGCATCAAGACTTTGATGGAGTAGAAGAGCCTTCATTTTTAACCTCCATAGGTTAAAATCTTTGAGACCTGTGAATTTGTAAATTTCAAGGCTAGCCATGGACATCCTTCCTTCAAGAATACTACAACAACCCTTCAATCTAGTTGCTGTCCACAGAAATCAGCCCAGAAAACAGCCTAGTTGCTGTTCTCCTCCAGCTATTGCCACAAAGAACAACCTAGGAAAGGCCTCCACCGTCGGTCACTTGCTTTCCTCCACCTGTTGTCCACTAAGAACAACCTAAGAAAGGTTTCCATTGCCGGTCACTTGCTTTCCTCCACATGTTGTCCATAAAGAATAGCCAAGAAACTCCACCTCTTTGTTGGAATTGTCTTTTTTTATTTTATTTCAAGAAATACATTCCTCCTTCCCCTTGATATTTTTTGACCAAGCTCTGATACCACTTGTTGAAAAATTTTAAAGAAGGGGCCTTGAATTCCTTTTCTTTCCTAGTAAACAACACCTTCTTCTCCTCCAGCCGGTCCCCTTCTCAGTTGCAATCAACTGAAGCTTTTCCTTCTTCTCCTTTGCCTTAGATCGAGAGCCTCCTCTATGCTTCCTGCCTGAATCGAGAGCCTCCTACTCTACTCCACCATAGGCTTTCTTCCCTTTCTGGACCGCCGACCACCTTTTGGCTGCTTCCACCGAGAGAGAGAGAGAGAGTCTCAAACAATACAAGTCACTCCTATTTATACTAAAATAACCCAAAGAGGAAAAAAGATAAAATAACCTAAAACAATGGCTTAAAGAAAAACAAGACTAATATTTCAAATAAGAACCAACATCTAACAAGACTTATGTTGAATGATGAATTGAAGACCAAAAGAAGAGGGTTGACTAATCTATCTTTAGCGCCTTCAATGCATATCCTAATAATGTGGAGGGCATGAGGGAATTGTTTTATGTGAATGAATTGTAATAAGATAGTATATCTTGAAGTACAAAATGTCCATCAATGTGTAAATTTTATTTGTAAACTTCATATTTCAGGATCTTGGTGGCCCGTGTGCTTGGGCAAGCAAGCCAGTGAAGAAGAAACAATAAAAAAAGTTATCAAGGGAAGCAACACAAGCATTCTGTTTGAGTCATACATTGAAGTTATTGGAGCAAGTACAACAGCAACAACATCAAGCATTTATCCCAATATGTGGGATCGGCTATATGAATCTTTTTTCTCCATTGCCCTATTAAATGTCAAATTCTCATTTAAATCTAATAAAAAAAAGTCATTTCTAATACTTTCTAAGTCTTTTTTAGGTCTACCTCTACATTTCTTAATATAAGGTCTAATACATCTACTATCTTAACCGGTCATCAGAATGCTGACATTTTATTTGACCTAATCATCTAAGGCGACTCTCTCTTATGTTATTTAACACTAGAGGTACTCCAATATTTTCTTCTATATACTTGTTTCACATTTTATGTCTACGAGTAAAACTACTCATCTCTTCGCAACACTTAATTTTATGCTTCTCTTTTAATGACGAACATTCTGTGCTATAAAGCATTGCAGGTCTTACCATCTTATAGAATTTTCCCTTAAGTTTGAGAGGTACTTTTTTATCTCACAACATGCCCTATGCATTCCTCCTTTTCAACCATCCAACTTGAATTCTACTAATAATATCTCCATCTATTTCGTTATCATTTTCACATCATTTTGAATAATAGACCTAAGATATCTAAAAACGTGTACTCTTTTTAATAACCATCTTATAAATGAATGCACCAATTTCATATAACCAATTTGATTTTATATTAGGAAGAATTATTTTAAAAGCAATTTTTTTGTTAAGATAATGAATAGAGAAGCAATAATAACAAAGAAATTATCTTCATATAATTTTTATTGTTTATGAGATGACATATTCGAGTGCTATAGGAATTAATTTTGGTGTGCTTTAACACAAAAATGCATGTGTCAATTATTGACATTGCCGAAGATATGTATGTTAGAACACAAACTAGTATTTGTGGAATGATAAACGGGTTTTTGATTATTATAGGTTTACATCAATAATTAATATTGGATTCCTCTTTTTGGATTGATTATGAAGATGCTTACAAAAGTACTCAAAGCGAGGTGCCCGTGTTTGCATGTTTTTGGCAAATTATATAATTCTAATCGGTGAGATATCCATTAAAATTAGTGAAAAATTAAAATAAGAGAGGAAATATTTAGAAGATTGGGATCTCCAAATTAGCAGAATAGAAGTTTGAGTATATGATTTGTAATTTTAGTGGCATGATGTCAACAAGTATCATTCAATATTATTAGAAGATAAAGTGATATCTAGATGTGATAGATTTAAGTAACATGGATGTAGTAAATAAAACAATGTAGGTATAGTCGATAACTTCTAGAGGAAAGGATTGATGGTTAAAATGGAGATGTGTCTCGAGAATTTTATTTGTTGAGGGGATTGTGACTTTGGGTGATGAAGTCATTAATAAGAGTACACGTTTTAGATATCTTGGATCTATTGTTCAGAGTGATGGTGAAATAGATGGGGATATTATCAGCAAAATTCAAGTTGGATGGTTGAAGTGGAGGAATGCATCAATGCATCGGGCTTGTTATGTGATAGAAATGTACCCCTCAAACTTAAGGGAAAATTCTATAAGATGGTAGTGAGGCCTGCAATGCTTTATGGTGCCGAATGTTGGCCATTAAAAGAGAAGCATAATACTAAGTTAAGTGTGGCAGAGATGAGGATGCTCAGGTGGATGAGTGGCTTTACCCTTAGAGATAGGATACGAAGTGAGCATATACGTGAAAAGGTTGGAGTAGCTCCAGTAGAAGATAAGATTAGAGAGATTCGTCTTAGATGGTTTGGTCACATAAAACGGCGGCCTTGCGATGACCCTGTTAGGAGAGTAGAGGTATTAGATTTGACTTATGTTAAGAAAGGTAGGGGTAGACCTAAAAAGACTTGGTTAGAAAATATTAGGAATGACCTTTCTTTATTAGATTTAAATGAGAATTTGACTTTTAATAGGACACAATGGAGAAAAAGGATTCATGTAGCCGACCCCACGTAGTGGGATAAAGGCTTGATGTTGTTGTTGTATGGATTCGAGTGGACTATAAAAAAAAAATCGATCATATCTAAGTTGAGTGTAACATAATTACAAACATTAAGATAGTTTTTTGAGAAAAAATTAAGAAATGTAAATTAAGGAATTATTATACTTGAGGAAAGATTAGAGTGATATGTTGGACTTGGACCAGCCCAAGCAGGGCTAGCTAAACCAACCCAGGGGCTGGTTTGCTTCAGATGGGCAAAGCAAGCCGCTGGCCCCCATGTGGGCCCCATTACTTGGCTTGAAGAGGAGGGGGCGGTTTAGACATATTTTGATTTAGAGAGGGGTTTAGTAAATGGGATTATATTTGTATGGTTTAAATAGATAGGAGGGATTAGGGTTAGGGTTATCTTGTTATTGGCTGAATTTTGTTTTGGTGCTTAGTTTTGCTTGGTCTGTAGCGGCGTCTAGAGAACTTGGAGAGATAGATCCTCCTCTCGAATTGAGGATTTCTTGCATCTTGTTATTTTCTTCTCTATTTCATCCATTACTACGTTGTTTTTGCTATGCCTGCTGGATTCTTTTTAAATTTGTGGTGGGAAATTGCTGAAATCAAATCATTGATAGGTTTCTCTTGAATTCTACAAGTGTTTCCTATCATGATATCCATTGAAGATAAGAATATTGAAAATAGGTTTAGGTAGCTTTGACATGTGCAACATGAGGTTAAAAGTGTTGTGCTTAGCGAATTGATTAAATCAGTGCCAAAAAAATAAGGAAGAAAAGTAGAGAGACCTAATATTAAATAGATAGCTGTTTATAATGAATTGGGAAGAATATGTTTAACATTAACAGAAACCATTTAAAAAAGGATTCATAATGCTGCCCCAAATAGTTGGGATAGGGCTAATGATGATGATGTCTCCTATTGATTTCCATGAGAAGACAATCAAATGCTTAGCCTGAGGTCCTTCAGTCTTAGTGAGTGATTTCATGCTTCTAAACTGGCTGTAGCTTCTCAACTTTTCATTAGCTGGTTGGCCATTAGTCCAGGTGAACATGCATGTTATATTCGTAAATGAAGTTATTTATTTGGGAAGCCATACTTCTTTTGCAAAATGGTAGGTCTGGCAGTTGATCATTTTCTCACTCTATTGCAAGTAGACTTAATTTGGTCTATCTTGAAATTTTTCGTCATGTATAAGCTTATAAATGTGAATTCCAATGTTACTTAGGGACGCGGTAACTAGTATCAAATGCATATTTGGGCCTAAGATTAATTGCCGACTCGATACCTTTGTTGAGTTACATTGTTCTTCCTTGCAACTTAAAGATTAAAGAACTCTATGAAATTTTCAATTCTATAACAGTTAAGATACTTTGCATTTTTATTGTATTTCAAAATTTAAGCATGTTAATACCCTGAATTTATTACATGCTGCGAAGACTAACAAGGTAACTATTACTGAAGGTTGGCCCAGCAAATGCTGAAAGGTTTTGCGCTGCATTTAAGACAGTACACGAGAAACTGGTAGGTTTTTCTATTTAGAATGCACACCTTCTCTGTATCAGATCATATTCTGCTTCTTTTTCATCCATTGTCATGCATGGATTATGAAATTCAGGTGTACAAAGAACTTAGTTTGGAGGCTGCGCAAAGATTCATTAGTACCCACAAAACTGACAAGATCAGAACAGACTCCTGTTAGAGGTGCTGCAAATCTATTTTTACTGGACTGATCACAAATTTACAGGACTAGAATTTATCGATAACCACATTGATTTTGTCATGCTATTCTCTGATTTGTCAGTTACTCTGTGAGTCAGTTTTACATAATGAAAATCTGGCTAAATGTGATTCAACAAATTGCTTAAAGAATCTGTAAGTTTGATTTTTTACATAAAAATGATCTCAAAATTTTCTTCTGAAACAAAGTTCATGGATTTGTGGTTACAGTTTGTTAAAGCTGCATCTCAGCTATTGTACTTTTTTTGTAGCCAGAATTTCCAGCTTCGATCTATTTAGAATGCTTGAATTAGGCAGTGATTTTTGTTCTTGTTGTTGTTGAGATTTTTCTTGAATATTATAAAAATAATTGATGAAATTTAATTATATAAGTCTACTTCTATAGCACTCCAATACTTAAATACTTACTAATATATCATATTTTAGTGATCTTTAATCATTTTAGAGTTAATTTACTCTAATCTTCAATCATAAGAAATCAAAATTCTAGTACTATAATTTAAATTTAATTTTCAGGAAGCTGAATCGCAGATCTTTTGTCATCTTTGGTTGTTTATATGGTAGCCTATTTGCCTTAGGTTTCACTTGAGATAATTTTCTTATTATTATTTTTAGATTGTAATCATAATTTTTATTTGACAATTATTTTTTTATTGTTTTTAAAAAAATTGTATTAGAAGATTATTTTATACAATTACTTTAAAAAGTTTATCTTCTCTAGTGCTATTTTATAAAATAATAAGAAAATTGTCCTAAATGGATCCTTAAACGTCTTTGGGTTTTGACGAGGGAAGAAAAATATTTTTTTATATCATATTATTATGATACTTATATTTTTAATATTTTTACGATGAAATTGTTTTATGTGTAATAAAAGAATGACTTCTTTAAGTATTCGAGTAAACATGTTCAGCAATTTGTAGATTAGTAAAAAAAAGTGTAGCCTTGCGAGTTATTTTTGTAATGTTAACGGTATATTTCATTCAAATTAAAGCCAATTAATTTGGTTTGTATATTGTTAAAAGTTAATTAATTAGAATGATACATTAAGAATTTTTAATAATTGGATGGTATATTAGTAAATAAAAGTACTTCTGATGTTATATTTAAAAAAGAATATTGTTTTTGTTCGTTGTAGTTAATATGTAAACGCATTACAAATTGAGCCCTCAAGAGATTTGTTCAGGAGCCTTTTTATTTTTGTATAATTTCATGTTATTCTCAAATAGTTTTAGTTCAAAAAATTTTTATTAGAAAGCAATTTTATAAAACAATAAAAAATTATCTTATGATTTTGTTTGATATGATTTTTTTTTTTTAACTTTTTAGAGTAGTTTTTTAATAAAAAAATTTGTAAACAAAAAAGTTATTTTAGAAATCAGTAATTGCATAAATCTGAGTTTTTCTTCCTTTTATCGTTGAAGATGGTAAACATTTACATCCATCTCCAGCTAGCGTGATTTATTTTCTTCCTTTTTTATTGTGAGCAAAGATTCTCTTAACAATGACAGATACCATCCATTATGCCTCGCCAGTATAGAAGCTGATTTGAAGAACATTGCTCAAATCCAATTTGTAGATGTTACTTCTCAAGCACATAGATGTCAACCACAACAAACTCATTCGGGGATGAGTTCCTTGAGGCAAATGTCTAATATGAATCATATTCTTGAAGCTTGTCTAATGATACTCCAAGCATCCACCATTGGTGCTCTCCAAGGAGCTCCATTATGAAGGTAACTCAAACACCTTGTCTTAGGTTGTTGAATTGGCCATTCCTCAATCTTTTCAGCCAATATCAATATTGATTTTTATTCCAAAGTGTGCTAGATATTGGTGATCCGTATTATCTCACTCAAGTTTATTTGACCTAAGTTTGTGACTATTAAACCTCACCAACAAAAGGTGAGCGACTTAAAATGCATCGACCACCATAGTTTATATCTCGAGTCGAGATATCTGATAGAATAAAAAATCTGATTGCTAATCAAAATCCTTTGAAGACACGGCTTCATAACATATTGACTAGAAACAATTACACCTTTTTTATTTAAAATATCTTACTAGATCGGTCATCCTTCATTTTCATTAATGCTTCTATCAAGCACCTCTCCTTCTTTTGATCGTCTTTACCTCCCTTTGCATCTCTCTCTCTCTCTCTCTCTCTCTCTCTCTCTCTCTCTCTCTCTCTCTCTCTCTCTCTCACACACACACACACACATACGCACGTACCCACTCACAAACACATTCATTGACTCTCTCCGTCACTCTTGCTATAGTTATCATGCGAACAATATGCTTTGTTATTCTATCGCCCACCACCCTAACCTACTATCCTAATATTTTTCGCATGTGCTTCCTCAGTCACGCATACTCAGTATTATGCATGCACACTTTGCTTTAATTTTATCTCTAATATTTTCCTTCGTCAATAATAAAAAATGGTTTATTTCACTCCTAAGTTAGTTGGAGGATAAACTACTGCTAAATTTATATTACAATATCTTTTACAAAAATTTTATGTTACAATGACTAACAAATGGTTAAAACTCTTGCACAATTTTATTTAGCAGTATAAGGGCCATGGTAGGTAGGATGAATCATTTGTTATATATATATAGTTTGTTAGTTAAAAAAATTGTGCTATATTATTATTATATCATTATGTATTGAATACTATAAAATACAATATTAGTCAAATAGGTAAACAAAATTTCAAATAATGCATATCTAATAATTGTGGGCTTCAAAAATTCGTGCCCGACCTCTTCTTATTTGGGGAGTTTTAACGACGTTCCTAATCAAATTTTAGAAGACATGTTAAATTTGAGTTTGAGATAAAACACTACCCAGAGAATTCATCCTCAATTTATGAAGTTTTATAATCTGGTTTTAGATTTCCCATAGGCGTAAGCCCCTAGGGTTAAATTCCCCTCCCAATGATAAAAGAAAACATTTGATTAATGCTAGTCATCAAATAGGCGCTAAGTACCTAACATATGGTAGCAGACTTAGCATATGGATTTTAGAAATATGAATTTTATCATTTTATACTTAAAGCGGATGATGGGGGGAATGATGATGAATGCGATCAAGATGTAATACCCAAAATGTTTCAAATAAATGTAAGCATAAACTTCTTCCAAGTGTTCATTTATTCTCATTAAATTCTATTTTTAATTCCAAGCACTTTTGACATATAAAAGTGTACGTTAAGAAATAATCAAATTGTCTAATTTAATTTAATGGTTTGACTATTTAATTATTTAATGTTCAAGATTTAAATAATAGTTAAATTAAATCTAAGTAATAGTTAAATTATCAGTGATTTCATTTCAGATTTTTTTTTTTTTCTAAAAGCCACTTACCTTTGCATGCATTGGCTGTACTAGCAATAGTGTGAAGGGACTTAGTGGATTTAAGTGGATGTTATTTCAATGTAATAAAGGAATTGGATTTAAGTGGATGATTTTTTAATGTAATAGTAAAATAATAGTGGAATTATTAGTTAAAACCTTAAACAAGTGTTACTGACACCCGTCACTTTGATTATGGAGAAAAATAATTCTCTGCAAGCTCTATATGTGAGATGTTGTGGCGTTTTGTTATTAGTTTCCGGATGCATTCGGTAACCTAACGAAATAATTACTCCTGAAGTAGGGTGTTGGTTGGCGGGGATGATGCAGAGTGCTAGTTACTGAAAACTACCGACCATGAGTTGAGCGAATGAGAATATTGCTGGTTAGAACTATTATATGGCTGTTGTGGTAGCTATTGGAGGGAAATATCAACAAATCAAGTTAAGGTAACTTGGGTAAATGCTGTAATTCATGGCTGAACTTAATATTTGGCTGAAATTATGTATTGTTTGCTTAATCTAAGTAAGACTACTACTATTGATACGTCCTCAAAAAATTATCTTGATCGGGCACGAATCTCAATGCAAAATAAAGGTGGAAACTTTCAAAATTAAAATTGGGACTATCTGAACTCTGATTTTAGCAAACTTACAGTCGAACGTTAACGTCTCGGAAATACAAACCCAACAACACCAAAATCGACTCAATCCGAGCCCAAATGGGTCCAAATTAAGGGTCCGAAGCTGTTGTTGGAGGGTTCGAACCACAATTTGGATTACCAAATGATTTCCAAACATAACGTGCTTATAGTCAAATCGAGAGGCTCGACGAAAAAAATCCAACAAGCCCAAGATTTCCAAATTCCAACATCATTAAGACCTTCAAATGTTTGATGAACGGTCCATGATCAAGGGATTCAATATTAGCCGTTCATCCAACCACTACCCATTTACCCTTGATCTCTCACCTATTTACAGGCTATGCCACTCCAGAAATCTATAAATAGACCCCTCATTCCTCTTGAAAGGGGGACTGTGCAAGAAGAGAAGAAAGAAGATAAGGAAGAAGCTCCTCCTCGACCACCGCCAAACTTCCGCCGAACCACCACTTGAGTCCCTCTCCTTCGCCGAACCACCGCCTGATGTTGTTGCTCCACCGGACCACCACTTGAGGCCCTCACCTCCGCCGGACCACTGCTTGTCGTCATTGCTCCGCCGGACCACCACTTGAGGCCCTAACCTTCGCCGGACAACCGCCTGGCGTCGTTGCTCCGCCAGACTACCACTTGAGGCCCTCACCTCTGTCGGACCACCGTCTGACGTCATTGCTCTGCCGGACCACCACTTGAGGCCCTCACTTCCGCCGGACCACCGCCTGACGTCGTTGCTCCGACGGACCACCGCTTGAAGCCCTCACCTCCGCTGGAGCACTGCCTGACATCATTGCTCCACCGGACCACCGCTTGAGGCTTGGACTTCTACCGGGCCACCACTTGACACCGAGAGTTCTCCCGAAGTACCGCCCTTCTACTACAGTCTTTCAGACCCTAGTCTCCTGCGGACTACGGTCCTTCCTACCTCCGTCGTCTACTATGGTCCTTTCAACCTCCATGACTAGACAACGGTCTTTCTGACCCCGGTCTCCTGCCGACTATGGTCATTCTTACCTCCGTCGCCAACTATGGTCCTTCCGACCTCCTTCACCAGACAACTGTTTTTATGACCCCGATTTCTTACCAACTACGGTCTTTCGTACCTCTGTCTCCTACCGACTATGGTCCTTCTGACCTCCGTCGCCTACTATGGTTCTTCTGACCACCATCAACAGACAAAGATCTTTCTGATCATGGTCTCCTTCCTACTACGGTCTTTCAGACCTCTGTCTCCTGTCGATTATGATCCTTCTGACCTCCGTCCCCAAACAACGGTCTTTC